GACCCAAGGGGACCCCAACACCGTCTACGATGCCCTCATCCTCCCACCCCGCTGCCCTGGGGGGTCCTGGAGGGGCTGGTACGTGGGGGACCCCAATGTCCCCTTCAACACCCTCATCCTCCCACCCCGCTGCCCTGGGGGGTCCTGGAGGGGCTGGTACCTGGTCGGGGGCAGCGATGGTGCCGGCCAGGAGGGGGTCACAGTCCTTGTAGAGGGCAAACATGACGAGGCCACAGGCGACCGCGCTGAAGACGATGAAGAACAGCCCCACTTGATTCACCAGCAGCGCCCTGTGAGCACAGGAGGGGGGGTGAGGAGGGGGCCCGGCAGGGTGTGGGGGCCCCGCAGGGCTGCAGGGGCTGTGCAGGGTCCGTGCAGGGGCACAGGGGCCATACAGAGGTGCCAGGGCCATGCAGGGGTGCAGGCACTGGTGTCCCTCAGGGGACAAACTCCCAGAGCGGGACCCAGACGATCCCAGTACCCCAGGACTCACATCTTGGCCTCCCTCTCGGTCCTGCAGGCCACGTAGCGCTGCACCTGGGCCTGGTTGACGCCGTACATGGAGAGCCAGACCAGGGTCCCGCCCAGCAGGAAGGTCCACACCGTGTAGCGGCTCCGCGGGTCCGGGTTGAAGCTGGGCACGGTGGCACCGCCGTGAGGGGTGAGGGGCGGGCTGGGCTGGCACCAAAACCCCCTTTCCCCAGCTCCCCAGGGCAAGGGGGAGCAGGGTCTGCACACCACGGGGTGGGGGGACTCACTCTCCAAAGTTCACCCTGGAGCCGTTGGCAGCAATAGCCAGCACCTTGGCGGGACCCCCCACCAGCAGAGCCCCCCGGATGATGATGGCGATGAAGCCCGAGAGCATGACGAAGACCTGGAAGACGTCGGTCCAGATGACAGCCTTCATCCCGCCCTGCGCCAGACGGAGCTGATGGTGACCACCAGGGACCCCCAGCACGCCCGGGACCCCCCCCAGGGGCTCCCCCACTCACGATGGTGGTGTAGAAGGTGCAGATGGCCCCGGTGGAGAGCAGGGACGCCCAGATGTCCAGCCCGGTCACTGGAGGGGAAGGGACAGTGCTGAGCAGAGCCCCAGGGGGTGAAATGTCCCCTGTGGTGGGACAGGGCCGGGGTGTCCCCAGCGCAGGGACAGGGATACCCCGAGGAGCAGCCCCCCCGTTCACACACCTTGGTTGAGGATCAGGGCCGGGGCGTAGATGACGATCCCCGTGTAGAGCATCTGTGGGAAGAGAGAGGGGGGGGGTGTCAGCACCGCATCCCACCGGCACCGCGGGCACCGGGCAGGTGGCACCGCTCCGGTGGGGACGGGGACAGAGCGTGACCAGCGCTGGGAAAACACTGCGGTTTTCACTCAAAACAGGGCACCCACCGGGAGCCACGCGCTCGGAGCCAGGGAAAACACGAGCACGGGACCGAGGACGCTCCCCAGGGGCTCAGGGCACGCACCCCCCACGTGCCACCACCGTCCCCCCTCCCAGCCCGGCACCGCCGGCACGCACCGTGGCCACCACGTACTGCAGGGTCCCGCACAGCCGGACGCTCCTGCTGAACCGCCGCTCCAGGTACTGGCACGGGGACAAGGACACCGAACACGTCGGGGCCGTCCCGGCAGCGGGGGCCGCTCCGGGGTGGGATCCCCTCGTGCCCCCCGCCCCAGCCCCGCGCCCACCTCGTAGGTGCTGGTGAGCCCCAGGCGGTAGAAGACAGGCAGGAAGAGCTGGGCGGTGAGCAGGGTGTTGATGAGCTGGGCCATGCACATCCAGAGGAATTTGGCGCCGTACCGGAACGCCTCCGCCGGCACTCCCAGCACCTGGATGGCCGACATGAAGCTGGCGGAGAGCGAGAGCCCCACGGGCAGCGCCGACATGCGCCGGCCCCCCGTGAAGAAGTCGTCCGAGGTTTTCTGGCCGCCCCTGGCCAGGCCGTGGAAGAGCCCGATGCCCGTGGAGATGAGCAGCATCAGCCCGAAGACTCCGTAGTCCCAGAGGCTGAAGGTGAGACGCTCCGGAGCCCGGATCTCGGGGCTGCCCGTCGGGGCTGGCATGGCCACGGAAAGCCCCGAACCAGAGGATGGGCACACAGCACGTGCGGCTGTGCCGGGGCACGGCGAGGGAATTCCTCGGAATTATTGACCAACCCTCCGTGCGGGAAGGAGGAGAAAATTCCTTGGAATTATTGATCAACCCTCCGCGCGGGAAGGAGGGAGCGCGGATTGGGGAGCAGGGCTGTGCCCCGCCCTGTGCCCTCTGCGCCCTTCCCAGGCGAGGGCTGTGCCAAAGGCAGAGCTGCACGAGGGACAACCCGAGTTTGCCCCGTTACCTCCCGGTCTGGAGCTGAGAGAGGCAGTGCCCGGTCCAGCTGCTCCAGGGAAGCAGCAGCACCCAAAGGACACGGCCGGGAGGGAGGGACGGAGGGGAGGGGAGGGAGAGACCCCTCCCCAGCCAGCACAAACAAGGAGGAGCAGAGCCTCCGGCAGAGCCAAATTTATCTCCGGCCGAGGGAGGGGGAAAAACAAACCCAGAGGAAACCTTTACCCAGAAAAAAAGCAGGTTGTTTGCAGGCAGCTGCCTGCAGAGCGGGAAGGACCGGCTGCCGAGGCTGAGGAGCGGAGCGGGGGCTGCCCGGGGGTCCCTGGGGGGCCCCGGTGTGTCTGAGAGGCCGCTGTGATGTGTCCTCGGAGGGTGCTGAGGGGTGGCGGCGAGGGGAGGCCGTGCCTCGAGCTGTGGGGACGGCGGGAGGCAGGTTCAGGACGGAGCCGTCGGGGGCCGCGGCCATAACCCCTTCCCTGCCGTGCCCCGGCACCGCTCGCGGCCCCGGCTGTGCCGCCGTGCCCGGACCCCGGTGAGAGCCGGGCACTGACCCCCAGGAGGGCAGGGACAGCTCTCCCTGCACGTCCCCAGCGACGTGGCACCGGGCGTGGGGCTGGCCCCGCTTCCTCATTCCCTGGCACAAACACCGCTTTGTCCCGCCTGGCCCTCTGACAGGTTTGGTGATTTCCACCTCTCTGCCCTAAGCCCCGAGTCAAGATCCGATTTGGGACTGGAGAACAGCCAGAACTGAGGCACCCCCATGAGGTCACTGTGCCCTCCAAAGCATCACTGTGGGGATATTGTCCCCTCTGTCACCGCGGGGGCACTGTCACCTCCAAGGTGTCACCACGAGGTCACTGTCAATTCCAAGGGGTCACCAGAGGGGGGCCATCCCCTCCGTGGGACGGAGGAGGGTCCCTGGGCCCTGCCTCCAGCCGCAGTGGCACAGTCTCCATCACCTGTCCCCTGGGGCCAGGGCTGGGCAGGACCCCTGCCCCGCCTCAGTGAGCTGGTTGGCGCAGCTCCAGGGGAAAAACGCCGAGATTTGGCCCCATCCCGAGGCAGGTACGTGCCACACCACACAGCACCGGGCCCGGCACACGCCCAGCGCCGTGGTGGCACCTGGGGCACAACTGGGGAGAGGGGGCAGGGCCATCCCTGGGGCACTGAGGGTCCCAGCAATGGGGTGCAGGGCAGGGGCAGGCAGCAGCCCCAGGAAGGGATGTCCTGGCAGAGCACTGCCCAACCCTGTGGTACCCACAACGCCAGGACAGGGGTCTCTTGGGGTGCCCGGGGGATGCCCAGGCTCCCTGCCCATCACTGCAACCCGTCCCTGCACCCTGGGGTGTCTGCCCTGGTCCCACCTCCCCTGCCAGGAAGCCACGCACCGGGGAGGCCTCGGGCAGGAAGGAAGTCACCCGGGGGGACTTTTCATCTCTCTCCTTCGCTCGCAGCCACCTACGCACCCCCAGAGCCTGGGTGTGGCGGCACACCCTGCCCAGGACCCCCTCCCCAGGGCCACGGCGAGGCCCCCCGGCACGGCAGAGGTACCACACGGGTATGGGGGGCTCCGGGGGATGGAGCTGAACCCTCCCTGTGCGATGAGGTGGAGGAGGAGCGGCTGTGGGACAGGGTGGGAGGGGGGTTATCCCACCGGGGGACTCAGCCTTGCCTTCATCCCTCCCAGCAGGGACCAATCCCAGCCCTGCGGGTGCCGCAGGTTCGGCCGCGGGGTTTGACCCTGGGGGGAGGATGATGAGGGAATGTCAGAGAAGGGGAGCTGTGGGGCCAGGGGGTCACCCTGAGCCCCCTTTCCCCCCCCTTTCCCCTGCAGCACCCACCATGGCCCCGCTGGGCGAGGACACGCCGCTGATCGGGGGCCGCTCCTGCAGCCTCTCCTCGGCCGAGCCCGGCAGGACCGGCACCCTGCGGGTGCTCCTGTACCCCCGGGCGCCCGCCCCCCGCAGCCCCCCCGGCGCCCTCACCTTCAGCGGCGGCGAGTTCACGGCCGAGGAGCTCTGCGTGCGCGCGGCCAAGGCCTGCGGTGAGCTCGGCGTGCCGGCCGTGGGGCCGCGGTGCCGGCCGTGGCACGGGGTCCTGGCTGCGGGCTCGGGGTACCGGCCACGGGACGGGGGTCCCAGCCCCGGGCTCGTGGTCCCGTGCCCCCCGTCCCTGCCAGGGGTCCCAGCCCCGCCCTCCGCCCCCAGGTGTGCTGCCCGTGTGCCACCCGCTCTTCGCCCTGGCCGCGGAGGATCTGAGCTGCTGGTTCCCCCCCAACCACCTCTTCACTGTGGACGAGTCCTGCAGCCAGGTCGTGGTGTACAGGATCAGGTACGGCCCCAGCCCGGCCCCCCGGGACCCTCTGGTGGGGTTGTGTGCTCTGGGGGACGCAGCTCTGAGACCCCCCCGCTGGCCCCGCCAGGTTCTTCTTCCCCAACTGGTGTGGACTGGGACAGTCCCACCGCTTCCAGCTGCTGAATGATCAGGCCAGCCCCATCCTGGACTACCCCGTCATTGATTACCTGTTTGCCCAGGTGAGCTCTGTCAGGTGGCATCTCTGTCCCCAATTCCTGGTGCCGCAGGCAGGGTCCCGTGTGGCTTCAGTGCAGTGATGTCCTTCATCACCCTGGGCTGTGAGACCCTCCTCCTGCTCCTCCTCCAGCACCCACAGGTCCCTGCAGGATGTGGATCCTCTTACCTGGCTCACCTGGAGCTGCTCATGGGGCACCCCAGGTTGCTGAGATGGGGGGTCACTGTGCCCCCTGGGTGGCACCTGCCCCCGGGACAGAGCCGGGAAAGCAGCAGGAAACCAGGGCAGGATGTGACTCACGTGGGCACTGGGACAGGGGGGCCACATGTGCCACAGACTGAGGGTCTTGGGGTGCCTCAGGTGTCCTGGCTTGGCAGGAGGTGGGAGAACCCCCCCCCCCAAACCCTCGTGCTCCCCCCAGTCCCGCAGTGACTTCATCGAGGGCCGCGTGGCCGTGGGGCTGAGCCTGCCCACGCAGGAGGAGTGCCTGGGCCTGGCCGTGCTGGACATGCTGCGCATCGCCAAGGAGGAGAGGCAGAGCCCCGACCAGGTCTGCAGCCACATCAGGTGAGCTGGGGGGCTGGGGGCACAGTGGGACAGCCTGGCACCCATGGGGACAGTCCAACACTCATGGGGAACACCTGGCACTCCTGAGGACACCCCGTCACCTGCCTGCACCCCACCCCATCCCCGGCAGCTACAAGTCGTGCATCCCGGAGCCGCTGCGGAGCCAGATCCAGCAGCACAACTTCCTCACCCGCAAGCGCATCCGGCGCCGCTTCAGCAAATCCCTGCGGAAGCTCGGGGGCTGCCAGACCGACGGGCCCCACCTGAAGCTCAAGTACCTGCTGGACCTGGAGCGGCTGCAGCGCCGCTGGGCCGAGGAGACTTTCCGTGTCCGCTCCCCCGGGGCCCCCACGTGCATCACCATCCACGTGTCCGGGGAGAGCGGCGTGTCCTGGAGCTGCGGCCCCTCCGAGGTGCTGGGGAGGAGCGGGGGGGGGAGCTGTGGGGGAGGTCCCGCGGTGGGATGAGGTGGGGGGCGCGGCTGTCACCCCGTTTGTCACCCCCCTAGAACCGCCAGCACTTCTGCGACTTCCCCGACATCGCCGACATCAGCATCAAGCAGGCGGGCGGGGAGGGCGAGACCCGGCTCGTCACCCTCACCAAGGCGGACAACCGCGTGCTGGTGAGCCGCGGGGGTGGGCTGGGGAGCCCCCTGGGGGGGCTGTGGAGCTGACCCCCCCCTTCCCCAGGAGGTGGAGTTCCCCACGCTGCGGGAGGCTCGTTCCTTCGTGGCTCTCATCGACGGCTACTACCGGCTGACGGCGGACTCCCAGCACTACTTCTGCAAGGAGGTGGCCCCGCCCCGGCTCCTGGAGGACGTGGAGAACCAGTGCCACGGGCCCATCAGGTGGGTGCAGGGACCCCCCCCCTCGCCAACCGCAACCCACAGGTGGCAGGGGCAGGGGTCACCTGGGCGGAGCCACCGGGGTGGGGGGGACACCGTGGGGAGGGGAGGGCAGTGGGGGTCCCCTGGGGGTGTCCCCAAGGGGGGTCCACACCCAGCCCTGCCTTTCCCAGCGCCGAGTTTGCCCTGAACAAGCTGAAGGCGGCCGGGAGCCCCCCGGGGCTGTACCTGCTGCGCCGCAGCCCCCAGGACTTCGACAGTTACCTGCTGACCGTCTGCGTGCAGGTGAGAGCCCCCCTGCATGGGGTCTCTGGAGGGGTTTGGGTGATTCTGGGGGGGTTCCTCCACCGCTGATCCTGATTGATCCCCCCACAGACCCGCTCCGGGCAGGACTACAAGCGGTGCCAGATCCGCAGGGACGAGGAGGGACACTTCTGGCTGTCGGGGGTGTCACGGAGGTTCTGCAGCCTGCAGGAGCTGCTGGGCACCTACGGGCGCTGGGGGCTGCAGGCTGAGGGGGCCCGGATGCACCTGGGGGCCTGCTGCCCACCCCGCCCCAAAGGTGACACGGGGGGCGTCACAGAGAGGGTGCTGTGAGGTCACAGGTTGGGCTATGACATCACAGAGCAGGTTGGAGGGTCACAGAGTGACCTCTGACATCACAGAGGGGTCAGTGTGACAGCTGCTGGGTGACACCAAAAAGCAAGTTGTGTGAGGTCACAGAACAGGCTGTGACATCATAGAGGGGGGCTATATGACATCACAGAGGGTAGGCCGTGTGACATCACAGAGCAGCTGTGTGAGGTCACCAGGTGGGTGCCCCCTGCTCTGCCCCCCCCTCACGGCCTCGATTTCCCCCCCCAGAGAAGTCCAACCTGCTGATTGTTCGGGGCGGGGCCCCCCCTCTCCCCGGCTCCCCCCCAGCCCCCCGGCGCCGCAGCCTCAACCAGATGATGTTCCACAAGATCGACCCCCAGAGCCTGATGCGGGTATGGGGGGCCCAGGGCATTTTGGGGGGGGAAGGGGCACAGGGACAGGGGACCCCTTGGGACCATCCCCCTCTCCCGGCAGGGCGAGAGCCTCGGCCAGGGCTCCTTCACCCAGATCTACAAGGGCATCAAGCGGGACCAGCAGGAGCAGGAGGAGGAGGAGGGGGACGGGCCCCGCCAGACCACAGTGGTGCTCAAGGTCATGGACAGCAGCCACCGCAACTGCTCCGAGGTGAGGGGGTGGCACAGCCCCCCCGAGGTGGCACCGGGGGGGGGGGGTGGAGGTGGTCCCCAGGAACCCCCCTGAGCTGCCTGTCCCACTCCCAGTCGTTCCTGGAGGCAGCCAGCACCATGAGCCAGCTCTCCCACAAGCACCTGGTCCTGCTGCACGGTGTCAGCCTCGGGAAGGACAGTGAGTGCCTGGGGGGAAAACAGGCAGTGCCCGGCCCTGCCGTGCCCCGGGTGGGCACACCCGACCCCCCTGACCCCCCCCCCCACAGGTGTGATGGTGCAGGAGTACGTCCAGCACGGCCCCCTCGACCTCTACCTGCGGAAGAACCGGGGTGAGGGCTCGGTGACCACCAGCTGGAAGCTGACAGTGGCCAAGCAGTTGGCCTACGCCCTCAACTACCTGGTGAGCGGCTCCGAGTGTCCCACGGCCCATGTGTCCTGCTGTTTCCCAGTGTCCTCATCCCACGGTTTCCAGGCATCCGTGTCCTCTGGGTCTGGTGCCACACTGAGGGTCCTGGTCCCTCTTCCCCCCCTGCAGGAGGACAAGAAGATCACCCACGGAAATGTCTCTGCCAAGAAGGTGCTGCTGGCACGGGAGGGGGACGCGGCCACAGGGACTCCCCCCTTCATCAAGCTCAACGACCCCGGGGTCAGCGTCACCGTCCTGGCCCCGGACAGTGAGTGCTGGGGGGTTCTGGGGGGTCCTGGGGGGTCAGGGGTTACTGGGCCCCCCTCAGGTGCTGAGCAGAGCCACCCCCCCCAGTGCTGGTGCAGAGGATCCCCTGGGTGGCCCCCGAGTGCGTCAGGGATCCCAAGAGCCTGGCGCTGCCCGCTGACAAGTGGAGCTTCGGAGCGACTCTCTGGGAGATCTTCAGCGGTGGGAACATGCCCCTGAGCCTGCTGGAGCCCCAGAAGGTGAGGCTGCCCCAGCCCCCTGCATCCTTACCCTTCTTCCCAGTGTATCCCAACCCTCCTGCCCCATCCTGCTGCATCCTGACCCTCCTGTCCCATCTCACCCCATTCAACCCTTCTTCCCTGTCCCGTTGCATCCCGATATCCCTGTCCCATCCCTCCTGCCCCATCCTGCTGCCCCCCAGACTCTGCTCGCTCCTCCAGCTTTGGGGCTGGTCAGGGGCTGTTTGGGGCAGCCCCAGACACCCCACAGCCCCCCTGGCTCCCCCCTTCCCATCCCTGCAGAAGCTGGAATTCTACCAGAGCCGGCTGCAGCTCCCGGCTCCCAAGTGGCCGGAGCTGGCCACGCTCATGGCCCAGTGCATGGAGTACGAGCCCCAGCGCCGGCCCTGCTTCCGCGCCCTCATCCGCGACCTCAACAGCCTCATCACCTCCGGTGGGCCCCGGGGCTGGGGAGGGGGGGCCCAGGGGACCCCCCACAGTGCCCTCACCACCCTCCCCCCCCAGACTACGAGCTGCTCTCAGACCTGTCCCCCGCGGATGTGGCGCTCCGGGACAGCCTGTGGGGACACGAACCCCTGGCCGTGAGCCGCGACCCCGAGCACTTCCAGGAGCGGCACCTCAAGTACATCTCACTGCTGGGAAAGGTGAGGGGTGGGGGGGGAAAGGGGGCCCTGAACCCCAAAACTCAGCGCACCCCCTCTTCCCTCCCCTGATTTGGGGTGTGAGACATCCTTGCTTTGCTGAGGAACACTTGGATTGAGCCCTGAGAGTGGGATTTTGGGAGGGACAGCAGGCACTGGGAATATGGGGGGGGGGGCTCTGGGGCGCTTCCCTCATCCCAGCCCTGCTCTCCCCATCCAGGGTAATTTTGGGAGCGTGGAGCTGTGCCGCTACGACCCCCTGGGGGACAGCACGGGCGAGCTGGTGGCGGTGAAGAAGCTGCAGCAGGACTCGGCCAAGGAGCTGCGGGATTTCGAGCGGGAGATCCAGATCCTGCACTCGCTGCAGCACGACTTCATCGTGCGCTACCGGGGTGTCTGCTACAGCCGGGGTGAGCACGGGGAGGGCAGGGGGCGGGCAGGGATCCCACATCCCGGCCCTGCCCAAATCTCGGCCGGACCGTGACGGATGTGGCTCCAGGGTGGCGCGGGCTGCGGCTGGTGATGGAATTCCTGCCCAACGGCTGCCTGCGGGATTACCTGCAGAAGAACCAGCCCCGCCTGGACCACAGGGCGCTGCTCCTCTACGCCTGGCAGATCTGCAAGGTGGGGGTCCTGCTCTCCCAGGGTGGGGGCGGAGCTGTGCCGTGGGTCGCCCAGGGGGTCGTGGTCCAGCTGGGATGAGTCCCCGGGGATGCTCCCGGTCCCCGTGAGCAGTTCCCTCCCGGCAGGGCATGGAATACCTGGGGGCGCAGCGCTGCGTGCACCGGGACCTGGCCAGCAGGAACATCCTGGTGGAGAGCGAGACCCACGTCAAGATCGGGGATTTCGGGCTGGCCAAGCTGCTCCCGCAGGACAAGGACTATTACGTGGTGCGGGAGCCCGGCCAGAGCCCCGTGTTCTGGTGAGAGGGGGACACGGGGGGAGGGTCACAGGGGGCTGCAATCCCAGCTGGATCCGGTGCTCAGCGTCTCCCCTCCGGCAGGTACGCTCCCGAATCCCTGTCGGACAACGTCTTCTCCTGTGCATCCGACACCTGGAGCTTCGGGGTCCTGCTCTACGAGCTCTTCACCTACAGCAACAAGAGCAGGAGCCCCTCGGAGGTGAGACCACCCCAGGATGGGGTCCTGCTGACCCCTCCCCCCCTTCCTGGGGCTGGGGTCCCTTACCTGTGGTACGAGCCCCCCTGGCTGATCGTGGTGCCCCCTCAGGAGTTCCTCAGGATGATGGGCACTGGGAAGCCGGCACAGATCATCTGCCTCTTGCTGGAGCTCCTCAAGGACAACCGGCGGCTCCCGGTGCCGTCCGGCTGCCCCGCCGAGGTGCGAGGCCTGCCTGGGCTGGGGGGTCCTGTGGGGGGGTTCTGGGGGTCCCTCCCCAGCTCCCCTGATGGCCTCCCTGTCCCTTGTCCCCAGGTATACTCGCTGATGATGAGCTGCTGGGCCTTCTCCCCCGGTGCCAGGCCCACTTTTGGGGAGCTGTCCCCCAGGATCGAGGCGCTGCGGGATGGTCGGAGCAAAGCCCGTGGGTAGAACCCCCTCCCCACAACAAAGCCCCCTCACACTGGCTGGGACCCCCAGACACCCACCTCCCTCCTCAGCACCGTGTGGCCACAGCGACGCTTCAAGGAGCTTTGAGGGGCACAGTGTGGGGGGACACGACCCCCAACCCCCCTCCAAGGGCACACAGACCCCCCCCCAACGCTGCCCCTTGGCTTCCCCCCTGTCCCAGTTTAAATGAGACAAAGGTCTTTTGCTGAGGATGGATTAGGAGAAAAAGAACCAAACTTCCTTTTCTAGCAATTATAAATTCGAAATTAAGAGGCTCCGATTGAAGGAAAACAAATTATGGAAAAGGGAAAAAAATAACAGCCCCTTATTAAAAGGTATGTGTGTATTAACAGGAACATGAAAAAAACCAAGTAAAACAACCAAGCAATACCCCTATACCCACCAATAATCCCCTTCAAGAACAAAACCGATAAAACCGGCAAAAAGAAAATCAAATAGTTCAATTTTTTAGCCCCCTTTGGTGCAGTTCCAGCCACAGTCAGCAGGGGGCGCCGTCGGGTCACTGGAGATGCAAAATTTGTAATGTCTTATACCATTCACCAGGTGGCGCTGTTGAGTTATCAAAAAGTGCAGAACTTGTAATGTTCTATAGTAGTCACCAGGGGGCGCTGTTGGATCACTGGAGGAGTGGAACTTGCAATGTCCAGCACCCGTCACCGGGCGGCGCTGTGGGATCCCTGGTCGCCGCCGGGTGGCGATGGAGGAGGGGGGAAGGGGGAGGGAAACAGAAAGTTCTCCCAATGGAAGAAAACTCACGATTTTCGGTTGGTGAGGATCTCGCGGTGAGCCAGGCCCGTAACCAGCAAACAGCTGCGCAGAGAACAGCAGCAGAAAAACTCTCCTCCGCCAGGCAAAAGACAAAGAAGCAACCAGGCAGTCTCTCCTCCTTGCTGCAGCCTGCCCTCCGGCTCCAGAGCTGAGCTCCAACCCCCAAACCCCACCTCTTTCCATACACACACCCTGGCCTTTTTCCCAATTCCTCCCCCTTCGTTGCTAGGAGATTAATGTCTGGTCATTTAGGGCTCAGGCCAACTCCTTTGTTTATCTGATGGCCCATTAACACATACACGCAGGAGGGGGAAGGGGAAAAGAAAGACAAAATTCCTTGCTACAATCAGAACTATGACATCCCCCCCTTCTCCTATGACAAATCCAGCCTTATTTTATTAAAGTTTGGTAAATTTTCCAGCTGGGGTGAGGTGAGGGGGTGCCTGGGCAGGGGGGACACATGGGGGAAGGGGGGTGAGGGTTGCTGTGGAGCTGCCAGGAGAGAGTGGGTGCCCATGGGACATCCCCAGCTCGGCACTGTGGGGTCAACGCCCACCCCAGTGGGCTCAGGGGATTCCTTTGCTCCCACCCCGAGCCCAGGACCCCCCCAAAATCAGCCTGGTCGTTCCCTACACCCCCTCAGAAAGGCTCCAGACCCCAAACGCTCATTAACGACACACCCTCGTTTATTCTCCCTCTGCCGCCTTTGGCCACGGAAGGGCAGATTTGGGGCGAAACCAGAGAGAAACAGGCCCAGAGCAGCGCGGAACTGAGAGCTGGGATTCAGCATTCCAGACACCACTCTACCCTCCTGGCAGGACCAGCCCCGGGGTCCCCCTCCCCAGTAGGGAGCGGCAGCTACAGGGGTTGGGAGGGAACCACAACCCAAGGGGTCCTGGGGTGTTTCCTGCCAGCTCTGGATCCTCCTCAGTGGCCCTAAAAGATGCTCAGACCCCCTAAAAGATGCTCCCCCAGCCAGGGGTGGAACATGTACCTGCCCCAGCACCAGGTGGAAGAAGGAAGGTGTCCCAAAATCCCACAGCAGCACATCCTGGTGCTCCCACTGCTGGCTGAGCTTCCCAGCACCCCAGCACTCGGCAGATGAAGGCTCCATCACCCACCCACCCACCCACCCCTGGGCACAAGGAAGTTATTAGAAAATAAAGGTTATTAGAAAATAAAGTGTTTAATAAAAGAGCAGCTCCTGCTCCCTTCACAGCACAGGGGAGGGCAGGGGGGGGATCCGGTGACAGCCACGGGGAGGGGGAACAGGGAGAGGAGGAAGAGGAGGAGGAGGAAAAGGAGGAGGAAAAGGGGGGCTCCCACCCCACAGCACCCCCTCCCCACCCCAGCCGGCCTCCATCCAGTGTTTCAAGTCCACACAACCAAGGGGGAAGCCCGGGGGGCTCGGAGGGTCCGGCAGGAAGCGGCTCAGGACCCCGCCAGGTAGATCCCTGTGGAGGAAAGGTGGTGAAGAGGATGGGAGAACATCCCTGGCACCAGGATGGGCACTGCCAAGTGGCCAGGGCTCAATGCCAGCACCAAGCTGGGCAACCTGCACCCAGCCGAGCTGGGCATCGCCCAGTGAGGGGGGATTTGGAATTTGGGGACAGGGGAGGGGACCCCATGAACCCCAGGGTCACAGGGAGCAGGGAAGGGACCCTGTGTGCTGCAGGAAGGGACTCCAGGCACCCCGAAAAAGGGATCTCCTACACCCCAGGGCCGTGGGGAGAAGGAAGGGACCACTGTGGATCTTAGGAAGGAACAGGGAAGGGACCCCAGTGCAACCCAAAGAGCAGGTTCAGGACACAGGGGATGGGGAGAGGACCCCCTACCCACCAAGGCTGTGGGGAAAGGACCCCACACCCCTCCCCAGCTGTACCTGTAGCAAACCTCTTCTTGACCAGCGACATGCGGTACCCGGCGCTCGCCAGCTCCACCTCCACCCCCGACAGCGTGCTGCCCTCGCTGCTGAACTGGGCAGCCACGGGACTGGGCTTACTGGGCCCCCCCAGGGGCTCCCAGCTGGCCGAGAGCCGGCCACAGCCTGGGGGGACAACACAGGGGTTGGGGGGGTCTGGCCCCTGCACCTCCTGCCCTGTGCCCTCAGGGTGGGCACAGACTCACCTCCCTGCCCCGGGGCACCGGGGATGTCCAGCAGCTTCCAGAGCAGCCTCTTCTCCTCCAGGTTCCTGCCGGGACACGGGAATGCCCTCAGAGCCCCAGGCCCTGCCCTCTTCATCCTGAACCCACCTCCCTGCCCTCCTCACCCCGGCAGCACCCCCATTTCCCAGCTCAGGGTCTCAAATTCCCAGTTCAGCATTGCCATTTTCCAGTTCAGGGTTCCCCTCTCCCATCCTGCAGGGATTTGGAACCCCATTTCCCGTGTCTCCCACCCTGGGAGCTATTTGGGACCCCCAGTCCTGTGTTATCCAGGATCCCAGACCCCGTGTTCCCCACCCTGGGGAGCTTTGTGATCCCCAGTCCTACATTTCCCACTCTGGGCAGGTTTGGGACCCGTTTCCCACTCTGGGGATGGATTGAAACCCCCTCTCCTGCACTCCCCACCCTGGGGAGGCTCAAGATCTGCAGTCCTGTCCCGGGCTGTGACCCCCAGAGCTGTGTGTCCCCCCCCGGGTTGGCTCCCGCCCCCCATCCCGGTACCAGCTGGCCGCGGGCTGCAGCCGCAGGTTGGTGAGGGGCTCCTCGATGGGCAGCAGGACGTGGACGTTGGCGAGGGGCACGGGCAGTGCCAGGGCGCCGGCGTTGTAGCCGTAGTCGACGCTGACCCGCGTGGCGCCGGGCGCGCAGTCCCAGCGCACGCAGAGCCGCAGGGGCGCCGAGCCGGGGCCCAGCCGCGAGAACTGCGGGACACAGCGGGGTTCAGGGGGGGCACCCTGACCCTCCCGCCCCCCAGGGTGGCTCCTGGGCGGTCCCAGCTCTCCCCACAGCCCGGGGGCTCACCTGGTACTTGAGCAGAGCCACGTTGTAGTAGGAGGCGGCCGGGCTCTGCTCCGCCTGCCGCTGCAGGTGCCCCGTCAGCGCTGCCATGTTCAGCCAGAAGTCCTTGGTGCTGGGGTCGCTCTGGGAAGGGTCGCTGGGGGGCACGGGGGTCAGAGGGGGCAGCAGGGCCTGGGCACCCCCAGAACCCGGCACCCCCATCCCCAGCACACCCAGACCCCCAGGGACCACGTGTACCCCACCGCCAGCCCCCCCATCGCTGCACCCGCCCCCTCCCAGGGTGCCTGTGCCCCCTGCCCCGCCGCCCCCCCGCCGTGCAGGGTGTCCCCGTGCCCCCACACCTGTAGAGCAGGTCGGTGTTGGGCAGGAAGTGCTCGATGGCCCCGGCGTTGAGCAGTCTGAAGCTGAGCACCGGCGGGGCCGCGGGGCCGCTGAACACGCGGACGATGCCGGCGGGGAAGGACATGGTGAGCTCCCCCGTCACCTTCACCAGGCAGCTGCCGGGACAGGCCGGGGGTCAGCGGGTGCCCCAGGCAGGACACAGCGGCTGGGGGGACCCCTAAGGACCCCCCCTCTCCGCGTACCTGTCGGCGTCGCGGCCCTTGAAATAGGCGTGGACGTACTCGGTGAAGGCGGTGGCCACGGGCAGCGCGTCCTGCGAGCCCAGCACCACGGGGCTGGGACCCCGGGACAGCCCTGGGTGGGGCGGGGGGCACGCAGAGGGGTCAGAGCACGGGTGGGACGCCCACCCTGCGCCCCCCGAGCCCCCCCAGCACCCACCGAGGGCCGGCTGGGACGCGGAGAAGAAGCCGCGCTCGCTCAGGCTGGCGGGCGCCGAGTGCGAGGGGCCGCAGCTCCAGGAGGGCGAGGGGCTCAGCGAGCGGGACTGCAAGGCAAGGCAGGGGCAGGGAGAGGGGTTAACCCTAACCCGTGGGGGGTCCCACAGCCCGGCCCCGAGCCCCCCTCCAGCCCCGGGCACGCACCAGGTCGCTGTTGCTGCCCACGGCAGGGCCGGCTGGCGGCCGCTTCGCGCGGGAGCGCCGAGGGGGGGCCACGAGAGGGACGTCCCGGGGGGCTGCGCTGGGCCAGGCGGGGAGAGAATCTGGGGGGGGACACGAGTATGGGGGTGAGGAGAGAGCATTGCCTTGGCAGGACACACAGGGGCGTTCCTGTAGGGGCTCATCAGTGCCATGAGCTGAGCGGGTCTCAGCCCCGTTCTCTGCCAGGTTGGGAAGGGGCAGCGTTAAGGGCGATGTGGGGGGCACAGGTAAGGGTAACAGGGGGCAGGGTCAAGGGTACTGGGGGGCAGCTGCCCCCTCCACTCACCCGGCTCCGACTGTGACGTGG